TTTTTGGTTTTTCGAGACACGGTTTCTCTGTGTAGCTTTGCGCCTTTCCTGGAACTCACTTGGTAGCCCAGGCTGGCCTCGAACTTACAGAGATCCGCCTGCCTCTGCCTCCCCGAGTGCTGGGATTAAAGGCATGCACCACCACCACCCCGGCCGGATTGCAGGTTCTTACCCTGATTGAAGACCTTAGTACGGTCTGAGAGTGACTACAGAGTTGCCGATCGGGGTGGGGAGCATGGAGAGAGAGAGAAAGAGAGAGAGAGAGAGAGAGAGAGAGAGAGAGAGAGAGAGAGAGAGAGAACGAGAACAGGATCGTTTCCTCAACAATGCTGAGTGCTCAGGTACAGGTACAGGTAGGGAGACGAGCTACATGATGGACTCAGCCAGATCCAGCTGCAATCAGTACTCTGCTAGTGGTTGGGAAGGCTGAAGGCAGCGTCTTGGGGAGCTAGGTAGCCACATCTGGTTTCCCACATTCCCAGGGAGCACTGCACCAGCCCCTCGGGCACAAGAAGTCCCCTCCCAAAGGACATGAAGCTGCTGGAGAACTCCAGCTTTGAGGCCATCAACTCACAGTTGACAGTGGAGACTGGAGATGCCCATATTATCGGCAGGTGAGTCTGGAAGCTCTGGGGATCAGACTCTCAGAGGTCACCGCCTTGGCCCCTGAGTTAAATCCTCGGGGTCAGCACGCTCCGTGATCCTGTCTGCGTTTTACAGGATTGAAAGCTACTCGTGTAAGATGGCAGGAGACGACAAACACATGTTCAAGCAGTTCTGTCAGGAAGGCCAGCCCCATGTGCTGGAGGCACTGTCCCCGCCTCAGACTTCAGGCCTCAGTCCCAGCAGGTAAGCTGAGACGGCGGCGCCTACCTCCTGAGGCGTGGGGGATGGTGAGCAGGGTTGACATTTATCTCTGTGCAGACTGAGCAAGAGCCAAGGTGGTGAGGACGAAAGCCCGCTGAGTGACAAGTGCAGCCGCAAGACCCTCTTCTACCTGATCGCCACACTCAACGAGTCCTTCCGGCCAGACTATGACTTCAGCACAGCCAGGAGTCATGAGTTCAGCCGGGAGCCCAGCCTCAGCTGGGTAAGGCTGGGAAGGGGGACCCCAAACCTGGAGTCATTCCCGTTGCCCTCTCCACTGAGTAGGTTCTTGGGCTCTACCTGCTGCCCTGGACCCCCTGGTCATCCCTGACTGTAACCTACTGTAGGTGGTTAATGCAGTCAACTGCAGCCTCTTCTCAGCTGTTCGGGAAGACTTCAAGGCCCTGAAGCCACAGCTGTGGAATGCAGTGGATGAGGAAATCTGCTTAGCCGAATGTGACATCTACAGGTGGGCCCACATCTTTGCAGGTAGACGTGGCAGGTGTGCGTGGCCGTGGGAGCCTCATGCCTCTGCTCTGCTCACTCTTCAGCTATAACCCAGATCTGGATTCAGACCCCTTCGGGGAAGATGGAAGCCTCTGGTCATTCAATTATTTCTTTTACAACAAGCGTCTTAAGCGAATTGTCTTCTTTAGCTGCCGCTCCATCAGGTTGGTACCATTGCCACCTCCCTCCCTCCGGCCCCCTGTTCACCTCACACCTTTCCTTAACTGGGTCTGTCCTCCCTGGGAAGGCCTGGGATAGGTGGTCCTAAGACTGACGTTTTTGTCCCCACCCAGTGGTTCCACGTACACACCCTCAGAGGCAGGCAATGCGCTGGACTTGGAACTGGGAGCAGAAGAGGTTGATGAAGAGAGTGGAGGAGGAGGCCATGAGGGCAGGGCGGAGGAGACCAGCACCATGGAGGAAGACAGGTGTGGGGGAAGTGCTGGAGGCTGCAGCCACGGCCCCCACCTCTAGAGCCCGGGGTGGCTGGGACACACCAGGGTTCTCGGCCTAGTCTGTGGTACCTCCTGATGTCCTCCTGTGTGCCAACTTGTGCCTAGGGTTCCAGTGATCTGTATGTGATGAGGAAAAGCGGAGGTCTCAGCTTCATCCAGCTTCGACCAATGCCTGGACCTGTCTACCTGAGGAGCTCCAGAGCCTCCCTTGATGCTGGCTACACCCTGGCACTGCCACCATCCTGGCGCTGCCCAAGGCCATACCTGCCTAGCCCTTTGGTTTCAGCCTGTGGACGTCCACTCACCCCTGCAGGCTCTTCCTTACTGCCCATGCTGTGGCTGGATTCAACAGCACAGGGCCTGATAGAAAAGTTGACTGCTCTGCACCAACCGTCTGCCACAGACAGGACAGCTGGAACACAGAGTTTATTTTTGTATTTCTTATTGGGCCTGTACACTCCAGCTCTAAGCGCCAGTGACTTGAAGCCCTGTAAGCGGTGCGCAGTGTTTTATGGGGTCTGGTCTTGGACCAGCCCCTGGTGCCCACTTTTGCCCCCCACCTTACGAGGTGGGCCACATGCACTGAGTGTCACTTTGCTGCAGCTCATTTCTTTCCAATAAAAGTTTCTGTGACTTGGACCGAACTTGGGAGTTTTGGGGGGCGGGGCCTGCGTCACGGGGCGGGGCCGGCAGCGTCTGGTATCTTAGCAACAGCTACTGCCTTTCCGTTACTTTGTCTCAAGAGCTGTTACAGCTCGCACTTCTGGGACTGTCCAGGATAGACATGGAGGGCCTGATGTTAAAAGCAAGCAACCTCTTTGCATCAGAGGGTGACAGCTTGGTTACGGACACAGACTTGTATGATCAGGACATCTATGACGTCCCAGATCCTGGGGTGCTCTCGGAAAGAAATGGTGAGGGAAGCCGGGTGGTGGTGGCGTACACCTTTAATCTCAGCGGGAGGCAGAGCCAGGTGGATTTCTGTGAGTTCGAGGCCAGCCTGGTCTACAGAGCGAGATCCAGGCCAGGGTCCAAAACTACACAGAGAAACCCTGTCTGGAAAAACCAAAAAGAAAATAAAAAATGGTGGGGGCACCTACCATTGTCCAGGCACCCCACTAGGAAGCAGATGTTTCTCAGACTTTGTCCAGTCCTGGAGGTGGAACTTCCCTGGGCAGTCCTTGACCCATCGTGTCCCTCAGAGGAGGGCTCCTTGTTTGCTTATCACCTCCGGGGTTGGGGCACAAGGCTGTATAGTGACACCACACCCTCCACTGACTTACAGACTTGGGTCTGGCGGAGGCACCAGAGGACCTACAGCTCTTTACAAGTTCCCAGAGGTGGCGGAAAATGACGCTGCATTCCCGCGCCCGACAGCTGTGGCTGCACCTACGTGCATACCTCCACGACATTGTGGAAAAGGTGTGGTTCGTCGTGAGGTCTCTGGTTGGGCTCATCCCTAGAGACACTGGGCACCCAGGCAGAGACGCTCATACCTCCATTACTCACACGCACACCTATGTATGTACTCTGGCCGGCAGGAGAAGAGAGCAGAGCTGCGGGTCACTCGAATGACACACGGGCTGGAGCCACTGCGTCGTCTGGAGGTGGCGGCTGGACTGCGCTCAGTAGCGCAGGACCCAGTGGGTGGACGCTTCCTGATACTCGATGGTGCAGGTTACCTGCATCAGCATACCAAAGATGGCTGGGCCCAGGCGAAGCTGGAGGCTCCGGTGGTGCTGAACGGGCTGGTGACTGTGCCGGGCCCTCTGGGAGAAGTGGGCCGCTTTGTAGGCTGGGGCCCAGCCGGACTGACCATATTAGGGCAAGACTTCCGCCCGCTCTGGGTGAGCAAGGCACTGAACCAGGAGTCTTTTTGTTGCTTACCAGTGCCCAGCCGGGGACTGTTGCTTGTGGCCCAGGCGGGAGGCAGCGTGGAGCTCTGGAAGTTCCGATCGGGTGGTCGCCGCCTGGTGTCCTGTGGCTCACCTTTGCAACCACCGCCAGGCTTGTCCGGCTCTCTCAAGCGGCTGGCTCTGGGGCCGGAAGCTGACCACGGCACCCGGCATTGCTTTGCTGCCTATGGCTCGGCGGTGCTCACTTTTGATCTGGACTCCTGGACTCTAAGTAATGTGTGCCAGGATCTGCATAAAACGTGAGGGGAGTCCAGGGACAGGTAGATGGGAGGCAGATCCCCTAAGGAGAGCCCATTACTTCAGGGGCTGCAGGACCCACAGATGGGACTGTGCTGAGTCCACTAGTCCCCTCCCATTCTCTCACTTCCAGCATCATCTCGGACTTGGAGTACTGTGAGGAGGTAGAAGCCATGGTGACAGCTTCCCGGGACAGTACTGTGAAGGTGTGGGAGGCTGACTGGCAGATCCGGATGGTATTCGTGGGCCACACAGGTGTGCCGCCGTCTGGCCGCTCTGGCAGCCCTTCCCTCTCATCCTGGGCTTGCCCTTCTCCCGTGTTGCTTGCATCCCAGGAACTCCTCCTTAAGCTATGATGTGCCAAAATGACCAGCACCTTTCCTGCAGGCCCGGTGACAGCTATGACAGTGCTCCGGAACAGCTCACTGGTAGTGTCCGCCTCGCAGGACGGGACGCTTCGCACATGGGACCTGAGGGCCGCGGCTCAGGTGGGAGAGGTATCACTGGGTTGCTGGAACCGAGACATACTCTCTGAGAGAGTGAGCCATCTGCTGGCTCCTGCAGGTCCTGGCTGGCCGGTGCTCTCTCTGTGCTCAAAGAGCGTGGAGCTGTGGCGGGTGTGTGACATCTATCTGCCCTTAGCACAGCTCTCAGCGCCGGTGCTCCATATACAGGTGGCGCCAGCGCTCCCGGCACCCGTGGAGCCGGCTCTGCCCTCTCGCCTTGTCTGCGCCTGTGCAGATGGGTCAGTCTACCTGGTGTCAGCTACCACGGGACGAACTGTGAGCTCACTGCTGCTGGATCCGGACGACTGTGCAGCTGGGGTGGTTTATTGTTTGTCTCGAGAAGCGCTGTGGGTGTTGACGCGCTCCGGGCACCTCGTGCGGGCCAATGCAGCACGCTGCCCTATGGTGGTAACACACCGCCGGAGTCCGCTTCCACTGCCGGCAGCACAGCCCTGCTGCCTGCACCTCTACAGCCATCTCACAGACCCCCGCAGCGCGTATGCTTGCTGGCAGATTGTGCACCAGAATCAGGGCGACATGCTCCGCAGTGCCATTGCCTGGGCCTGGAAAAATAAGAACAGGTGGGCACAGCAGCTTTCTGAGGCTGGGTTAAGGCAAAGGTGTGGCTGACCCAGCGGCCTCCATCACTCCTCACAGGTTCTTACCGATGATGGGGTACTCAGACGGCACACTGTCTGTACTGGATTGGCGCACATCACAGACCATCTTCTCCACAGAAGCACATATCCCAGGTCCAGTGACTGCTATTGGGTCCACCTGGAATAGCATAGTGACTTCAGGTCAGTGCCTTCTCTCCCTCGAAGACAGTCTGGGAGCCCCTGCCCCTTCCCAAAGTCCCAACCCTGGCTCCTGCTTCCCAAAGGTGGCGATCTGACAGTCAAGATGTGGCGTGTATTCCCATACGCGGAGGAGTGCCTGAGTTTGCTACATACCTTCTCCTGTTGCCACCCGGTGGTAATGCTCTGTACTCTGGGCAAGCGATTCATGGTAGGCTTTGAGGACCCGGAGAGCGCCACCTATGGCCTGGTGCAGTTTGGCCTCGGTGACAAAATGCGCTTTGACCACCGGCCACAGGACGACCCTATGGACCACATCACTGGTGAGGAGCATGGAGTGGAGGCGAAGCCTGTGTCCTTATTCTCGACTGCTTCCTAACCTTAGTTCTGCCTCTAGGCCTGTGCTGCTGCCCCACCCTCAAGCTATACGCCTGCTCCAGCCTGGACTGCACCATCCGAATCTGGACCTGGGAGAACCGCCTGCTGAGGTGTGCTGGGGGGCCCTATCGTGTGGGGGCAGCTGGCCGCTAAAGGACAGCCATCAGGGCTCTTCTAACCCGCTAAAGACCAGGGGCTGGACTGAGGGGGACAGGGTCTTGACCCTGTCACTGCCTCAAGTTCCCACTCTGTGAAACAGGGGCTAGACTCTGGGCCTTTTGCAGGCTCCTGCAGCTGGATGGTCCTCCTCAGAGCCTGGCCTTCTCCAACAACAGTGGAGACCTGGTACTCGCACTAGGTTCCCGCCTCTGCCTGGTGTCCCACGAGCTCTACCTGCCTACGTCCTATCTGGTTAAGGTATACAGTGAGGTCAAGGTGGTCGAGGTGGGACTGGCTGCTGCCCACAATAAACGGTACTGGGAACACAGCTCTACCTGCTTCTTCAGAAATTCTGTCAGAAGACCCCTGATGTGGTGAATGACCCTCCGCTGCCACTCACCGGCTGGAAGTCCCTGACAACCTCCCAGCTGCAAAGGCTTGCCAGTCTACAAGGAGCAGCCAACCTCAGGTCTGCTGGCAGGGCTGCTCAGCCGCTGTGGAGGGTTCCACCCAGCCCTGGGAGCAGGGTTCACATAGCTGTCTGCCCGTAGTGTGCGTTCTCTACCCTCCCAAGTCCCTCTGGTATTGCCACATCTCAACCCCAGCATCTTTTCTCCCAGCTTCTAACCTATCCCACTCGTGATGCCCAGAGTCTCATCTATGCCTGTTTCTATCCACAGTGTGCCCTTGCCCTTCACCCAACAGCAAACAGCAACACTTCAGCAGCCAGTGTCGAAGGAGGTAAGTGTCCGTCCTGACCCTTGGCCAGCCCAGTGCCCATCCATGCCCAGTCTCGAGCCACAACCTCTCAGTCTCTGGATTCTGAATTCTCACGGTTGCTTGGGAAGCACATGCCAAGTCTTTAAGGAAGCGGGGAATGATCACTGATCTCCACCTCAGGACTTGAAGGATATCATAGCCCGGGATCAAGACCTTCAAGAACTGAGGCAAGGAATGGTAGCCCCAGCAGCTCGGCCCCAACTCTCCTGGAAGCTGCGTGAGGAGGCCTTTGACAATTACTTACATCTGATCTACGGTTGTGACCTGCTGGTAGGTGTGGGACCAGTCCCAGGCCCGACCATGACCTCCCCCCCCCCCCCCCGCATCTGACACAAGCTTCCTGTTTTTTCCTGTCCTAGGACATAAAATCTGCAAGGGAATCCCTGCAGTGGGGCGCTGCGGGCCCCACCACAGAGTCCCAGGACACGGGCACCCAGATCAGAGCCGCCATCAGTGGTGCGCAGGTTACCTTTAGCGATGAGGTTCAGCCAGTGGGCCCACCTGCAGCCTTCCAAACCCCAGGAGCCCCAGGCAGGCGCTTTGTCCGCCCTCCCCGAGTCTCCTTGCCTCTTCCACCTATTCACCGGGCGGTGCATAGCCAGGCATCCCAGGTGAGGCCTTCTTCCCGTCCCATATCCATCCATGCTTGACACTGTGACCCCTGCCCCAACCCCATGTAACTCCTTGCATACCCTAGCTTCTAGCACGTTCCTCCCTGAGCTATGAGCTGGGCCTTAGTTTGGATCTGCAGGTGCAGTATGATCAGTTTGGAGGAGAGAGCATGGACCTGAGCACATCACCTTACTACCTGCAGCGGAGGGTGAGGGCCCCTGTTCAAGGGCAGTTTCAGGGGCTGGGGTGGCTGCGCTCTGTTTTCACTCCCTGTCCCTCCCCAGGTTCCCCTGCTGCTGCACAGAAGGCCCCAAGAACCTCTCTCAAATGTAGGGGGCTTCTTTCCTGCCACCATACAGCCCTACAAGGTGAGACCTCACCCCTCCTCCCTCCCAGAGGTGGCCTCTTTTAGGGGGTCACTCTGTGCATATCCTATCTCCTTTTGCTGTAAGCCATTGTGTCCCAATCTGACCCAAGTAGGCCATGCCTACCTGAAGCCTATAGGGTCAAGACTTAAGACCCCTGTGTACCTCTCCAGCCTGGCCAGTTCTGGTGTGGCTATGGCCATGGACTCCTTGCTGCTTTCTAGTGAGCCCAGAGGTCTACCACCAGCGGTTGTTCCTCACATCATTCTCCCCCGCAGGAGCGCTACATTCCCTGTCGACTTTTTGTGGAAGATCAGGGTTCTTGTGCTTCAAAGGAGCCAAGTCCAGTGGGGCCAGTCCCTCATGATCCACCATTTTCTCATACTTGGTCATACTGGGCACCCAGGCAGGCCCTAGTCCCTTGCTTAACACATACCAGGCTCCCATTCAGCTGTATTATTAGTCTTTCCAGCTTGGGGAGGCCTATCTACTCAATACATGGACCTCTCTCCAAGCTCCTTTCTTCCTTCCCTGCCCCCTCTACCATGGGTTTTGTAGACACCCCTGTTTTAGGTTAAGTTCCTCAGAGAGCATGTATGTGGTTAGTGCTCACCAGGGACCAACCACCTCTAGATTCCTCTCTTCATTTACAACTCATATCCCCCCAGATTATCCTTCTATCGGGTTTTCCAAGCTAAACTGCCCATTTGTGTGTTGAGAACAGTCTGGCCTTTGGTGGCCCGTGGTTCTGGGGGTGCTCCCCAGTTATGTCCATGTCCCAGTGATTCTCAACCCAATCTATTGTCCTCCACATCTAGCAACGCACCCATTCCATCCATTTTCCTGGCTGTGTGCCCAACTCGGTGATACTGCAGCAGATGTGGTTGCATGCAGAGGTCAGCCGCCTTGGCTCCCTAGCAGAACTCGCTACCCCAAGCCGATTCAAGGCAAGTAGTGGAGCTTGGGGTGATCAGGGCGGGCCCTGCTGTCTCCACAGCCTGCCACACGGTCTCTCTTGTTCCTCTGCAGCCATCCAGAAGGCGGGGTGACCAGTGGCTAAAGCGCAGAAAGCATTCTACTGGCAGGTGGCGAAAGAAACTGATGTACTGGCTTTACAGGTCACGTAAGAAAGGGGGAGACGAGAGTGATGACGAGGAGGAGGAGGAGGAGGACGAGCTGGAGCTTGAATGGGCCTCCTCTTCCCCAACTTCTGAGGAGCAGCCAGAACCCTGGGAGCCAGACACTCAAGTAGGCACTCTAGGCTCTCCTGAAGGGTGAGATTGGTGCCCCGAGGTGGGTTTAAAGCTTCTCTCATTTCCCTTAGATCTCCAAGAGCGTGACCAAAAAACCTCACCGTGATGTCTCCAAGTCCAAGACTCACTTGGCTTCCCGTCCTCAACGCCGTGTGCGCTCACTCTGGGAAGAGCGCTATGGGCATTTGCCCAGGTTCCTGCATTATTTTGTTATCCAGAACTGGTTCAAAAAGCTGTTCCCTATCTTTACCCTGGAGGTTAGGAGACTCGGGGACGCCCGGGCTTGGGGTGGGGGAGAAGAGAAGGCGGGGGCTAGTCTGCATGCAGAGTGGAGTTGGGGATGGGCAGGGCTTCAGCAAGTCTTCCCACAGGCCTATCCAGAGATGGGTACCATAGAGGGCTTGGCCTCGACGTTTGTGGACTTCCTGCCGCAGGCTTCCTGGGCAGAACGAGTGAGTATTCTAAATGCCCTAATGAGGCTGTTTCCTGATATAAGCAATGAACTTCGCAGCCGGCTGCAGGCCAAGCTCTTGTACTTGCTCAACCAAGACCAGCCCCCTAGCCTGCAGGTGAGTCCCCCTCCACAGGACCTTGTATCCTCACCTACTTCCATCATCAACCACAGTTCCCTGGTTCCAACCCACTCCTGAGCCTAGGACAAGACGCAGAAGCAGTTCGTGATGATGGCGCTGCAGTTGCTCCTAGCCTGCAGCCTGGAGGCCCTTGATGTGGTGTTGGAGATCATGTCCTTCTACCTCTATGCTCCAGCCGATTGTCAGTGAGTTGAGCCCATGCTGGGCTTTCCCTACCAGCTTGGGAAGACTCGGGTTAAGCCTCATCTACCTGTCCCAGGCAAGACTTCAAGAATCTACTGGAGAGGCTGGGCCTCCAGGACACACAGGGTATCCTGTACAAGGAGATGACAGCCTGGGCTGAGAACGCCAACTTTGACTCCAAGGCCACGATACGGACATACTGTCATCAGAAGCTTGAGGAAATTATCCTCCAGGTCTGGTGGGCCAAGGGCTGGGTGGCCCACCTACTGGGAACCTGTTGCCTTCTTCAGAGGTCTCCCAGAAGACCATTAGTGGGTGCCCCTAGGAATGCCCCTGGGTTTTCCCCAACCGGAACATTTCTTGAGAGCTCCCTCACAGCAGAAGGCTTCACTGGGATGGAGGGGGCGGGTCCGGGGGGGAGAGCCTGGATGAGGAACCCTCTCCCTGGAGCTAGGACTCTAGCAGAAGGAAGTTTCAGAGATACAGGTGCAAGGGTACTAACTCCATGGGTCACTCTCCTCTAGATGAATAGCTTGGAGCAGTCTATAGCCAGTGTTTCTATAGAGCCTCCCAGGGAGGGCTCCTCCCAAGCCTCCCTCATCTCTGCGGCACCCTTGCCTGCCTTGAGCACCTCTTGGATACCCTCACGGGCATCGGAATTGTCCTTGCGCATTCACGAGCTGATGGTGCCTTCGCCTGTGCCTTCGCCTGTGGGGCCGGTGGGGTCCACCCAAGAACTCCAGCTTGCAAACATAAAGGCGTATTCACGCATCCGGCCAACCAAAAGAGTACTCGCGGATGCGCTGCTGGCCCTCTCTTCTGTGTCTGAGGACTACCTGAGTGTCCCCGTGCCTGCTGCACTAAGTAGAGGGCCACTGCCATCGGAGGCCACACCGCCACTAGAGGAAAAGGCGCATCTGGAAGACACAGAATGGGCACGCTTTCAGATAGTGGACCTGTTCCACATTGATGCGCTTAATTTCTTCTGTGAGAAGCACCGGGCACAGCAGCAGAGCTTGATGGAGGAGGAGGAGCACCTACGGGTCTCACCTCTAGGCCCGCTAGGGCCCAATATTGTGGTGCGGCCGCCCCGGGATCGATGGTGCGCATTGGATGTGGGCATGTTGGGTTGACCTTACGTGGCTTGCAGGGGAAGGTCTGACTGAATCCTCTCCCTTCTTCAGGCTCTATCCCATTCTTCGGCTGCAGGAGACCAAACACAGCTTTGGGAGGTTTCTCAGGGGTGAGTGGACACAGGGGTAAGAATTGGACCCTAATGCTCCCTCTCCCCACTCACCCTCAGCATACAGCTTCACTTACCTGGTTCCCTGCATCCAGGTCACAGGCTGTACCGCCAGGGCCCAGCTCCTGATGGCCCCCTCCGGGTGCTGAAGCTGCCACTGCCACGGGTGGAGTTACAGCCTTTTCCCCCAGGTTGGCCTGCGCCCCCACGGGCGCTGCCCCCACTGCTCATGCAGCCCACTCTGCAACGCTACTTCCTGTTCGAAGACACAAACCCGGACACCTATAGTTGACCCGGGGGACAGACAGTCAAGGCTCCATGGCCAACGCCCAGTCCTACCACCTTGGCAAATCACAGTACCATGTTTGGTCTAAATTAAAATATATATACATATATATATATATTTACTTATTGTGTGTATATATACACGTCACTTGTGTGCAAATAAGCATTTGTGCATGCTTATGGAGGCAAAAGATTGATGTCAAGTGTTCATTGTTCTGCATCCTATTTTGTGTTTATTTAATTTTGGTTTTTTGAGACAGGGTTTCTCTGTGTAACAGTCCTAGCTATTCTGGAACTCACTTTGTAGACCAGGCTGGCATCGAAACTCACCAAGATGCATCTGTCTCTGTCTCCAAGTGCTGGGATTAAAGACTTTACTTTTATTTATTTATTTATTTATTTATTTATTTATTTAAAGAGTCAGATAGCCCTGGCTGTCCTGGAACTCACTATATAGACTAGGCTAGCCTCCAACTCACAGAGCTCCACCCACATCTGCCTCCTAAGTGCTGGGATTAAAGGCATGGACCACCACGCCTGGTCCTCTTTAACTGTATGAGTGTTTTGCTTGCATGTATGTACCAAGTAGGTCTCAGCAGGAAGGTGTCTGCAGCGAGTACACTCATGACTGAGTCAGGTGACATTTAAGGAAAAGGAGCCAGGAGGGCTTGTGCCCAGTTTGATGCCCTCTTCCCTTTGTTTCCCAGGCCCAGGGGTGAGAGTGGTTTCTCTTGCTTTTTCCTTTGTAGGTTGCTGTTTTTATGGTTCATATGCTGTCCTGGCTAGATTTTTTTTTTTTTTTTGTCAACTTTATACAAGCTAGAGTAATTTGAGAAGAAGGACCTCAATTGAAGAAATGCTCCCACCAGACTGGCCTGTGGGCAAGACCGTGGGGCTCTGTTCTTGACTAATGATTGATGTGGAAGGGCCCAGCCCACTGTGGGTGGTGCCACCCCTGGGCAGGCGGTCTTGGATTGTATAAGGAAGCAGTCTGAGCAAACCATGAGGAGCAAACCAGTAAGCAGCACTCCTCCACTGGCTTCTGCTCCAGTTCCTGCCTCCAGGTTCCTGCTTTGAGTTCCTGTTCTGACTTCCCTCAGTGACAGACTGTGACCTGAGAGTATACATGAAATCAACCCCTTCCTCCCCTTGGCTCACAACTCTAGGCTGCAATCCATCATTGTGGGAAGTCAAGGGAGCAGGGACCTTGAGCAGCTAGTCACATGACATCCACAGTTAGGAAAAGACAGCAGTGACTCATGCATGCTCGTGCAAGTTTGCTTTCTCCACTCTTAGAAAACCTAGGATCCCCTTCCTAGGGAATGGTGTCACCCACTGTGGGCAAAGTCTTTCCATTAATTCAGATATCCGCCCCCACACACAGACATGTCCATAAGTCAACTTAATCTAGACAGTCCCTCACTGAGACTCCTTTTCCAGGGTGACTCTGTCTTTTGTGAAGTGAACAACCAAAGTCAACCATTGTAAGAAGGTTTTGGGCTGCTTTGTTTTCTGAGATAGTCTCATTCTATAGACCAGGCTAGCCTTAAATTTATGATCTTCCTGCTGCAGCTCCTGAGTTGTGAGATTAGACACGAAGCACTATGCCTAGCTGATTTGTTTATCCATCTATGTTTTTATTGACATCTATTAGGTATACATAATTATACATAGGTTCTGGGTATCCAAACTCCTTGAATGCCTTTAAACTTAGCATTCGGGAAGTAGAGTCAGGCGGATCTCTGAAAGTTCGAGGCCATTCTGGGCTACAGAGCAAATTTCAGGACAGCCAGAGCTACACAGAGAAACCCTATCTTAAAAAACAACCTCCCCCACAAAAAAACCCCAAAATCAAACTCCAGTCTTCATGCTTGCAAGGCAAGCACTTTAGCCACCGGGCCCCTGTTTAATGTAAACTTCTAGAAAACACTCTTTCTTTGGAGGATGAGGATATTGGATTCCCTGGTTGATATCATTAGACCCCTCCCTGGTGCCCTAATATCCTTGAGCGGAGGACCACATGTCAGGCAGCTGGCTAGAATAGCCTTATGCCAGCACTGGCTATTTTGAACATTCCACAGATGTGCAAGGCTAAAATACAACTTCAGCTCCAAGAGGTGTGGCTTCAGCAACGACTCAAACAGCTTTGAGTAGGCCTTTCCTAGCAACCACTTACAGCAGGTCAGCTGAGCACTTCCCGATAGTCTAGCAAAGGAGACTGTGACTGTTAGAAAACACATTAGTGCCCTGATTGGTATAACCACTGTCCTTCATTTGCGTAATGACCTGTTCTGATTGGTGCAAACAGTCCACTTCTGACTATATATAGGCTGTTTGGCTCACTTTGTAAACAAGCTGGGAGACACTTTTTTTTTGAGAGGCCCTTGTGTACAGCAGATTGGTCTCAAAGTCACTTAGGAGAGGGTGACCTTGGAAATCTGGAGTCCTATCTCAGCTTTCTAAATGCTGGGATTATATCTGGTAGGAGACACTTCTTGTATTGTCCCAATGTGATATTCCCGCATTGGGGCAAAGAAAGTCTTTGCCAGAGACCTTTTATTTTTTCTCTTTTTTGAGACAGCCCAGAACTCACTATGTGTTATGGAATAATCTTTTTTTTTAAAGATTTATTTATTTATTATGCATACAATGTTCTGCCTGCATGTCTACAGGCCAGAAGAGGCTACCAGATCTCATCATAGATGGTTGTGAGCCACCATGTGGTTGCTGGGAATTGAACTCAGGACCCCTGGAAGAACAGTCAGTGCTCTTAACCTCTGAGCCATCCCTCCAGCCTGGAATAATCTTTTTGTACACTGTGAAGATGCATCTTTGCCAAGGCACCTTCTGATTCATTTAGTAAAAGAGTTGACTGGTAGCTAGGCAGGAGGTATTGGCGGGACAGCAAGACACAGAGGCTGCTGGGAACAGAAGGGTGGAGTCGCAGGAGTTTTGAGCAGACACAGAGAAGCAAGATGAATGTGTGTTATGCCCAGATTGTGACCCCCCAAAGAGACCACCGAAGACCTTGGATGTCCAGAATGCAACAGCAAGGTTTATTCTGCAGATACAAGTCTAGACAGGGACTCATTCCTACACCCAATACAGTGAGGCAGGGAGGAGTACCTCTTTCTTGGGGAAGTTAGTTTTTATAGGCAAAACCCATAAAATTTCTTAGAGGGGAGGGGGTTAGTACGGGTCCATCCTTGATTGGTCCAGTTTTTCCCGGGCCTGGACTTTATCTTATTCTAGCTTGTCTGTTTGCCTTGTCAGGAGTTTTACAACTTCTCTCCGGGGTCAGGTCATGTTATCTCTTGAGAGGGGCATCTCATGGTTAATTGGTTACCATCAGACATCCTGACTCTGTTCTTTTGTTCCTGGGGCTGGCGCCATCATTTCTGGGGACTTGAAACTGGCCTGGGTCTATCTATATTGAGGTATCTTTGTCTAAGGCCCCCTTTTTGAGACAATAGAGTGAGGGTCTTTTTGTGCCTAGATCCGCGTCCCCAAAGCCACCACTGGAGACTTTAGGTACAGAATGCAGAAGTAAGGTGTTGTCTAAGTATACAAGCCTCCAGGGAGGCTCTTCTAAATCTCTCACTCACAGCAGAGAGGTTGGAAGGAGCGCTCCCCTTTCTTTGTGAGGCTAGTTCTTAAAGGCACAGACCATATAATTTATTTTAACCTACCTCCCTTTTCAGTCTTTTGGTCGAATATCCTGACTGTGTTTTCCAAAGTCCCTGTAGCAGATACAGCCAGCTGGGGAAAAGGGGTCTAAGTTCTTATCTACACTTACGAATCCTGGTTTAAGCTTCTCTTTGTCTGTAGGGGATAGAGTGGGGGTTTTTACTGAGGTATCACATGTGCTGTATTGAAAGAAGGTACCACCACGTGGCAGAGGGCAGATAAGAAATATGGGTTAATTTAAAGTGTAAGAGTTAGCTAGTAACAAGCCTGAGTTATCGGCCAAATATTTGTAATGAATAAGTCTCTGAGTGGTTATATTTGGGAGTGGCTGCTGAGACACAGAGAAACTCTGCCTACAATTATGCAGACCAGACTGGACTTGAACTCACAGAGAACCACTTGTGCTGGGCTTAAAGGTGTGTACCACCACGGCTGTCCTTCCTCACCGACTTTTCTAGATGTGGATGGGTTGGTGAGCAAAGGAAGTGAGGTAGCAGGGAAGAGAGTGGAGACCCAGCAGCAGAGCTGCGGAAGAGGCAGAGATGGGGAAGCAGCAGTTGTAACCAGCCTTTCTTTGGACCGCCAGCACCCAAATAATGACACAGAGACTTTTCACTAATTAGGAAAGCGTGGCTTGTTCCCAGCCAGCTCTTAAAGTGTAAACTAACCCATTTATGTTAATCTACGTTCTGCCACGTAGCTCGTTACCTTTCCTCAGTACGGTATGTCCAACTTCCTCCGTGTCTGGCTGGCAAATCTCCCAGGACCTCAGATTCTTTTCCAGAATTCCTGTCTCTGCCTGGAAGTCCAGCCTATGCTCTCCTGCCTAGCTAGGGGCTGTTCAGCTCTTTATTAAACCAATCAGAAGGTGCCTTAGGCAGGTGACATAAAACAAGAGACACATCTTTACACAGTGCACAAAGAGACTGTCTCCACAAGCAGTAGAGCAGTAAAAAAAAGTGTCAACGGTGGCTTTGAGAGGCAAGGGTCTTAGCCTCAGGAACTGTATCACTAGTCACTGTCAAAGGCCGGGAAATCTGGACGCTTACCGCCACACAACAGCTAACAAGTATTACTGTAGCGCTAAGGGGTCCCAGTCGGGAACTTAAGGCTGTAGAGGATCTGTAACTGTTGCAAACTCCTAGCAATCCCCTTTGCGGTCAGAAGCTGAAGATTAGGAAAGCCGCCAAGGACCAGCCCTGGAAAAACTCACTGACTCAAGATTTCTATCTTGGGAGAGCAAGGACCCCAGGTTAACTGGTAACCGAATGGAAAAGACTCCAGTATGGGCTGGAGAGATGGCTCAGAGGTTAAGAGCACTGGCTTTTCTTCCAGAGATCATGAGTTCAATTCCCAGCAACCACATGGTGGCTCACAACCATCTGTAATGAGATCTGTTGCCCTCTTCTGACCTGCAAGTGTATATGCAGACAGAATATTGTATACATAATAAATAAATAAACTTTAAATAAAAAAAAGACTCCAGTACCTAAAGGAACTATCTTCTGCCAGGATTATGCAGCCGGGGTCAGTGTCCTCTCACCTGTGCTAGCAAATGTGCCAGTAGAGGGTAAAGATACTATGGAGCCACAGGGAAGCCGATCAGCAGAGAGGCGAGGAAGGAAGAAACCGAACAGGGGTCTAAGAGAGCTGTGCAGCAGCGTCTGTCGCCAGGCTCCCCCAAACCTGCAAACTAGACATTCACTAACCAGTTCGCTTTGTGCAAGCCTGTTTGACCCAGGCTTCTGTCATTGAAGACTCCTGACAAATGCCCCGAAGTTGGCCTCTCTGTAAAGTCTGGTCCAAAGCTGCCTTCTCACCGCGGAGTCCTGCGCTATCCGGTTCTGAACTCGGGGCTAATGGACAGCAGCAACAGTCTGGTGACCCCCAAGGGCCCGCCCGGGCTTCCGAGCTTCCAACTCGGCGTGCTGGCCGCGTGGCTGGTTCTGATGCCGCTGCAGGCAGAGCAGCGGATGTGAAATCAGTTTGGCTGGGCAAGCAAACAAAAGACAGTCGGGAAAGTCGCCGCAAGGACTTAGATTTTTTTTGTGTGGGGTGAGGTGGGGTGGGGTGGGGAGTGGGAAGGCGTCTGCACCACCTACAAGCGCCGTACAACCGGCCAGTGCCCTCACCGCCTGCGAGTGAGAGCCCAAGACCGTGGCCCACAATGCCTCGCGCCCAGGCCGGTCCCGCCCCCTTCAGCTGGGTCCTCAGCCTCGGATTGGTCGCGATTACTTCCGCTTTTCCGGAGGCCGGGCCGTAGCCCTGGTAAGGTGGACGGACGGCGGCTGAAGCTGCTGGCGGGCTGCGGGGTCCGGGAGCGGAGGTTCGGGGCTCTCGGGTGAGCGAGGGATGTTAGGGCAGGAGGCCGGCGCGGACACGGAGGCGGCGGAGCTCCTGCCCTTCCTGGCGCCCGGCGCGCGGGCGGACCTGCAGGCGGCCGCGGCGCAGCACGTGTTGGCTCTGACCGGCTCGGGCCCGGGCCGTACGCTCCTGGCGGGACAGGCAGCGCTGCTGCGGGCTCTAGGCGAGCTTGCGGTGGCCCCCGCCCCAGCTCCTTCCCGCGACGCCTCCCGCGCGCTCGTGAACTTGGCAGCTGACCCCGGCCTGCACCGGCAGCTGCTGGCGGCGGACCCGGAGCTGCCCGCTCGCCTGCTGAGCTGCGTCTTGGACCCTCAATGGCCCTGGGCTGAAGAGGTGGCCGCAGTACTGGCCAATCTGACCCGCGAGCTGGCGCCGTGTGCTGCGTTGATGGAGAAGCTGATGGCCGCTGAGCCGGCGCGGCCGAGTCTGGAGCAGCTGGTCAACGCGCTGTGCATGCCCAGCTACAACGCGGCCGCGCCCCTGCATTACCTGGGGCCGCTGCTCTCCAACCTTAGCCAGCAGGCGGAGGTGCGTGCTTTTCTCCTGGACCCGGACAGGTGAAGCCCAGGCGCCTGCGTGGGCGGGGAGGGGGTGTGGAAGTGAACAGGGACAGCAGTGAGTGTGGCCTTCCAACAGGTGCGTGGTCCAACGGCTGCTGCCTCTTACCCAGTAAGCAGAATCTTTAGTGCGGACGGGGGGAGTCATGGGGACACTTCAGAATCGCAGTTTCAAGCATCGTAAGTGGGGGGGGGGGGGGGGGGGGGGGTTGTGCCGTTGCTGGGTGGGGACAGGTCCCTCGGGACCCAGTAGACCCAATTCCTTGGTCCCTTGCCTTGTTTCCACCTACAGGACACCACACGTGGTTGCTCGGGCCCCAAGTCGACATTCTCCCCTTCTTGCTACTGCCCTTGGCTGGGCCTGAGGAGTTTTCCGAGGAAGAAATGGACAGTGAGTGACTCAGATTGTTGTCTCAAGGTTGGAAGGATACAAGCAAGGGGAGAGGGAGAATATACAGGTCTGGAGTCCCTTCAAAAGCCTTTATGGAGGGGGTTGTACACACACACACACACACACACACACACACACACACACACACACACACACACAGAGGCTCACCCAGGCAGAGCAGGGCTCAGGTGTCCAGCACGGCTCCCACCCTCACCCCTAGGGCTGCCTGTTGACCTGCAGTACTTGCCACCAGACAAGCAGCGAGAGCCAGATGCTGACATCCGAAAGATGCTCATCGAGGCCATCATGCTGGTGAGCAGGGGTCTGTGACGGTAATGCCTCTCCACAATGCATCTTGGTATCTGAGTAACCCGTCCCATCTCCCCAGCTGACAGCCACTGCTCCTGGTCGGCAGCAGATACGGGACCAGGGTGCTTACTTGATCCTTCGAGAGCTGTACAACTGGGAGCCGGAGGCTGATGTTCGAATAGCTTGTGAGAAGCTTATCCAGGTGAGTGCAGGGTCAGGAGGGCTGGAGAAGCTGTGCCCACAGCTAACGGGCTGCTCACCTGCTTCCTCTGTTTGCAGGTGCTTATTGGTGATGAGCCAGAGGCTGGCATGGAAAACCTGCTGGAGGTGCAGGTGCCTGAGGACGTGGAGCGACAGCTGCAACAGTTAGACCAGCAAGAACAGCTAGAGCTTGCTCAAGAGCTAAGAGGCAAGGATACCCAAGGGACCTGAAGCTCCTTTGGCCTTAGTGCCAGCTCCAGATCTGCCTTTGCCAGTGTTCCCACACGGTTCTAAAGTACATGCCCAGTAAATGTTGAGAAGCGCAAGGACACTGCCCAGTCCTGTGCCCCGTTGCTACCCGCAAGGATGCAAGTTATTCAGTGCTGCACTGTTGAGCTGGAGCTGGCCAGGTCCTGTGCCATAGCTGCCTACATATGAGGCAGGTAGGCGGTGGCCACTGGATCGATGAGGAGCCCATTCCTAGACCGTGCTGGACTGGACTGAAAACGCTGCAAGCCCTGGTCAGCCAACAAGAGCTTTTCACTCCTGAAGGATCTGGGTTGGTTTGGAGGTGCAAACAGTGCTATGAGCCCCAACCTTTGGAGTCCTTCTGCTTGCTTTGCCCAAGACCTCCTTGGAACACAGACCACACTTGAATCCTAGGGTCTTTCTAGGATGCTCTGCCCTTCCAGGCCTGTCTTTGGATCACTTACTGGGTAGTTTCCCCTTCGCTATCTGTTTCTCTGCCCCACCTGTGATACTGGCCCCTCCCTTTATTTTGGTTAGCCTCCTTAGTCCCATGTTGAATGGGTCTTAGCCATTTAGATAGAACCTGCTTCTCAGTTAGCTTCCTTGAGCCTCAGTTGCCTTTCAGGACATCCAGACCCTCCTACTGGGCACACCTTGCCTCCCTCTGCAGAAATTCTCCTGGGTGTTCCTGCAGCATTTATCCCCACACAATCCTACCCCCAACTTTCGGAGCCTACTTCGTCTACGCAGCCCTTCTTCCTCATTCTGTAGACACCATGGCAAGTCTTGCCCCGCTGTGTCCCCTTTTCTGAGCCACAGATCTTGATCCACCTGTGTGAAGCTTTTGTTTGCTGTTCCCTCTCCTCAGCAGTGGGTCCTCCCAGGTTCCTGGGGCCTATAGTCTTCATGAGAGTTTGTGGTATTCCGATCCATACCTCTGAGGCTGGAAAACTGTTTTGTTATGTGTTGTTATGCCATGGCTTGGTGTTTCATTGGGTACCATGAGTCTTCCTTCCCTCCATGATGTCTTCCGGGCCTCTGTTAAAGCTTGATATTCTCGGTACCTGTGCTGTGTAGACCTCTGACCCTCTGACCCAGATCCCAAGGAGGTAATGGTGGAGCTCTAGCCCAGTGAGGTACCCAGAGGCCACCTGCCCTCCCTGTGTAGACAGCTGCATCCTCAGCTCCACAGAAAAACATTTTTATCTGCCCACACCTACCCACCCTCAGCTGAGCAGATAGTGCCCAGGCATGTTCCTGTTGGGGGCTGTGGGGCATAGAGAAGTGACCACCTGCCATGGAGTGCCATAGCCCAAGACTGGCAGAAGCTATTCCTCTGGTGCAGGCCTCCAGGTGCTAAACGCCTGGGCCAGAGACACTCTCCTTGGAGATGTCCCGCCCCTGGAGGTGCTGCAGCTTTTGCTTCAGGTATACAGTATCTCTGCCAGACTCTGTGTGGCCAGGGGCTGTTGCTGACTGGGGATGCTCCTGTTCTGCAATGGACAAGGCACGGTGTCACGTGGAGTGTTAGAGGCACTTCCTGCCGCCCAACAAGTCCCCCGTGAGCCGTGCCCCACCTGGAGTGGCACCGAGTGCAGAGGAGAGCGTGTGGTCTGCGGGCAGCATCCAGCAGTGAGCAGCTACCTGCTGTAGGCCCAGGCGTGCACACGGATGCAGCTGAAGCAGCCCTCTGATCAGGTCCCGGCACCCTACAGGGGAGGGCTCGCCGCTGGAGCCTGTCAGTGACTCTGACCCTCACCCACTACTGCCAGAAATCACGGTGGCTACTTGAGAGGGGTCCTTTCTAGTCTGGCAAAGGTTTGGGGCTTCTGCCCATTATTAAAGGGGACTGAGGCACAGAAAATGATGAGGTATTCTGGACTATGTTAATATTCAGTAGGGTTGCTACTCCTCAGTTCCACCCTCAGCTCAGCTTCCCAACATGCAGTGTATGGGTGGTCCTTTTCCAGCCTGTGGGGTAGGGTGATATACCATATCATTCTCTTTGCTGACTGTGGTCCTAGTCTCTGGCTGCTCTCTAGGCCTGAGCTGGGGCCTGGAAGGAGGATGGAATAGTGTTGCTCACCTGAGGACAACCCTGGCTTGAAGACGGGACCACGACGAATCAGATGCAGCATGCGGTGGGGTTGGTGTTCTTTGAAGGGCAACTTCCCAGACACCATGGCATGAAGGATGATCCCTCTGGGGACACAACTTCCCTCAGGGTGTCGTCCCTCCTAAGCCCACCCATGGATCCTGCAGGGGTTACCTGGGGTACTCACAGGCTCCACAGATCAGCCTGCTCACCATTGTACTTCTTGCTCATGAGGATCTCTGGGGCCGTATAGGCCACAGAGCCACAGAAGGTGCTCAGCAGTGAGTTCTTGAGCCCCACGCAGTTGGCAAAGCCAAAATCTGCACACAGTATCCAGGCAGGGCAAGGCAACACAGGGGATGGACAGGTTGGGGACAGTGGTTCAAGAGGCTGGCTGTTGGGCTGGTGGGGTCGGGGTGGGGAGCTCTGAGTGTGTGTTACAAAGATGGGAGTGAAGGAAAACTAGGCAGGGCCTCCTGTGGACGCAGGCCAGTGCGTTTGGGCGTGGGGGAAGGAGTTGATTTCAGGCTTTCTGGAAGAGCTAGAGGACAAGAGCCTGTGTGGGACAGGAAGTTGGAGGTAGGAGTCCGGAAGGAAACTGAACTGAGGAAGCCGTGTGGGCTCACCTGTCAGCTTTAGGAAGCCCTGGTCATCCAAGAGGATATTCTCACATTTCAAGTCTCTGCGGGAGAAGGGGAGACGGGGCTGGGCTCAAGTGGGTCAGCAGATAGCCCGCTAGGCAGGTAGGCCAGATGTCGCCCTCACCGGTGCACAATGCCGGCATCGTGGCAGTGGGCCACCGCGCTGACCAGCTGCCAGAACAGCCTTCGAGCCTCTTCCTCCTCTAGCCCCGGGCAGCCTCGGAGGTCTGACACTGCATTGATATGCTCCAACAGGTCGCCTCGGGCTGCCAACTCCAGCACCAGGTAGGAGCGCTGACTGTTCTGGTAGGTCTCATATAACTGCACCTACCAAACACCCCCATGCCCCGTGTACACTGTCATCCCGAGGAAGGCCTGGGCCAGGACTGCTGGAACTGTCCCGTATACTAGATCCCAGTCGCAGGGGGAGCGTGGGCCCTGTATTCAAGGGCAAAAAGGAGCTTTTCCAAGTAGGGGAGGGGAGCCAAGCACGGGGCGGACAGCAGGCGTGGTGAGGACTGTCTTACTATGTTAAGGTGCTTGTAGGTGGCATTGAGTGATGAAATCTCACGGGGCAGGAACTTTCTGGAGTACTCCACTGGTGCTTCAGCCATGGACACAATCTTAATAGCCACCTGAGGAAGATGGGGAGTGGTCAGCTGGGTAAAAGCTCCTTAGAATAGGCCCGCTGTTCTTTACACACATTGCCGAACTTCTCCCAGGGCTAGGTGAGCAATATCCTCGAAAGGTGGTGCCAGCCCCACTTTCTTTTTGTCCTGGGCACATATATGTTTGAGGGGCTGGGGGACAGAGCATGGGGGAGCTGAGAAGAAATAGGACCTAGGAGGGAGGTCCCATAGAGGAAGCTAGGGTAGCTGGAAGGTACCTGAGAGGGTTTAGGACACAGGCCTGCCAGAACCAAACTGGGGTACCCCCAAGGAACCCACAGAGTAGGTGGCAGGCCTCCCTCACCATACTGTGGCGCTTGGCCCGCAAGTCAGAGGCTAGCTTAGGATTGTGCTTCATGCGCTCACGTGTTGCATAGGCTAGGTAGACCTTGGAGAAGGCACCAGAGCCAATCTTCTTGGAGGAGAGCAGATAACCATTGTTCATGCATTCTTGAACCTGTTCCACGAAGAGCCTCTCATCCAGCTTGCGCCGGCTGTTGCTCCTCATGGAGGGCAGGGTGCCGCAGAAGGGGGCTTGGCGGGCCAGCTTACTGTCCGTCAACAGTAGAGACACAGCTGAGATCTAACTTGTTTCAGAGGGCAGGGACTGGGGAAGCAGAGGGCCAGGTGGGACCTGAAGCCCCTTGGAGAAAACAGCCAGTTTTCTGAAGACTTAAAGAGCTTAAGGCTAAGAGTGTAGGTTGAGAGGCTGGGGGAGGCAGGGAGGCGAACACAGCTCTGGACTGATCGGAGAGTGAAGACTCCAGGGAACTGGGTATAGGTTCTAGAATAGAAGGTTCTAGAGATGCACCTGCATTGTGCCCTCAAAGTTATCATCTTTAGACCTGTCATCTCTGAGGCTGTCTTACTGGATTAGCTCTATCCAGTGCTGTGCTCTTTTTCTGTGGGGTGAGAACTCACATGAAGGGCTAAGCACTAGGGTGAGGCTTTTGTGAGCTACTCTACATGTGATTGAATATAAAAGACATTTTAAGGATTTATTTTTCATTATTTTTAAGTGTGTGTGTGTGTGTGTGTGTGTGTGTGTGTGTGTGTGTGTGTGGGGAGAGAGAGAGAGAGAGAGAGAGAGAGAGAGAGAGAGAGAGAGAGAGAGAGAGAGAGAGAGCGCGATCCCATAGAGGTTTTGTATCTCCTGGAGCTGAAATTTTAGGTGGTTGTGAGCCACCTGATAATGGGTGCTGGCAACCAAACTTGGGTCCCCTGCAAAAGCAGTATGTGTCCTTAATTGCTGAGCCATTTCTCCAACCACTATACAAGGCTTTTAAAGAAGTTGGGAGGAGTTGAGCAGTGGTGGTGCACACCTCAAGTCCAGCACTCGAGGCAGAGGCAGGTGGATCTCTGAGTTTAAGACCAGCTTGGTCTACAGAGCAAGTTCCAGGACAGCCAGGGCTACACAGAGAGACCCTGTCTCGAAAAAAACAAAACAAAAGTTGGAAGGGTTAAGTCCTCTAAGAATACAAAGAGGTCAAAAGAGATCAGCCACTGTTATATTCTTTGAGGGGGTGCCAAGGCCACAGCTAAATGAATCAGAAGTGGCAAGAGTCCAGGATCCTCTATCTTGGTCTTCCTCTCCTGGATCTTGATTTTTCACCCAGGCTAGAACTGCTGCAGGAAGCCTACCACCTAGATCTCTCTTCAGGCTTGAACACTTCAGGGCAAGCAAAGGCCACCTCCTCAGACTACTCTGCCAGGGCATGGAATCTGCCATCACTTCCCCCTTGTTTTGAACTCCAGAGTCACAGCTGACCTTTACCTAGCATGTGCCACATGCCAGTTGCTACTCTAAGTAGTCATCTTAGCTACATCTCTCTGATCATGTCTGATTCCCTGAACACTTCTGTGTGTAGTAAGTCTTTTTCTTTGGGCCACCAGCTCACAAATAATGACATGAAGACTTACTAATTATGAAAGCTTGGCCTTAGCTTAGGCTTGTCCCAGGAGCTCTTATAACAAATTAACCTGCTTTTATTAATCTATGTTTTATCATGTGGCTTTTTACCTTTCCTTCATTCCATGTCTCATTGGTGTCTCCCCTGGGCCTCAATCTCCTCTTCCTCTCTGTCCCTGGAAATCCTGCCCATACCTCCTGCCTAGCTATTGGCTGTTCAGCTTTTTATTACACTAATCACAGCAATACATTTTCACACAAATTATCCCACAACAGAAGTGCCAGAGGTAGTTCATACCCAGGATTTCAAATCTGAATGCAATGAAACAATACATGTTTTACAGATGATGAAATTGAGGTCTCTGCTGTGAGCTGGAGGAACCAGCATATTGGCTAGTGGGCAGCTGTCCTGAGACTATTCATAAAGGCCTGAAATATGGTAGAAGTCTAATGCGTCTTGTGTCTTCCTGCACTGAAGTCTATAGGTGGATTCGGCAGGCCTTTACAATAAGGCTTTGGAATAGCCTGGCCTGAGCTCTCAGTATTCTCTCATCCATGTTGTCCTGCGAATTTTTGGAATGAATGGCTTGTGGCTACAGTTCTTGTCTTGGGCAGAAAACATAGAAAATATGGACACAGTAACTGTCCTGTGGCTAATCTGGAGTTTAGGTAAAAGGAGATTGCTCCTGGTTATTTAATACAGGTTAGCAGTCCAAGAGTTGGGAGGTCTGTGGGTACATGCACCATTGGGTGAGGATGGGTGAAGGCGGGTGGCCATTTTACATGGAGAGGAAAAGTCATGATTCTGTCCACGCCCACCAGTGCCATTGAGTGCTGCTCTCAATCACAGCCCTTTGACCTTCCTGGTTCCCACCTGTGCCGGAACCCAAAGAGAAGCTAGCAACTCCCTTTCTTTCCTTCTTCCTCCCCTTTGTTTTTTTTTTAGGGCCTTGTTTGTTTGTTTTTGTACCCCTGTCCTGGAACTCACTCTGTAGACCAGGCTGGCCTCAAACCCACAGAGATCTGCCTGCCTCTGCCTCTGCATCCCAAGTGCTGGGACTAAAGGTGTATGCCACCATCGCCCAGTAAAATTTTATTCTTAACTGCATGTGCTTGTGTGTGTGGGGGGGGAGGTATGGGCACTTGAGTGTGTAAGCTTGTGGAGCTTAGAAGCTTTTTTTATTTTATTTTAAAATTTTTAATGTGCATTGGTGTTTTGTCATGGAACTGGAGTTACAGACAGTTGTGAGCTGCCATCTGGGAGCTGGGAATTGAACCTGAGTTCTCTGGAAGAGCATTGAGTGCTCTTAACCTCTGAGCCATCTCTTCAGCCTTGCTTAGATGCTTTGATTCCACCTGGAGCTCGAAGTTACAGCTGGTTGTGAGCTGCCTAACGTGGGAGAGAGCAGGAAGTGCTGAGCCATCTCTTCAGTCTGTAGCTGGAAGTTTCTCAGGTCCCGTCCCCCTCTCCCACCCCCACCCCTTGCCCCAGCCACTTGGACCCAAGAAAACACACAGAGGCTTTACATTATTACAAACGGTATGGCCTAT